CCCACGGCACGGCATGGCACGGCACATAACTGTGTCCCACGCAGGGGGATGGGATGAGCCCCTGGGATGGGGTGGGGAATGATGTCCTGCCATGGCTGATGATGAACGTGTCAGCGTGGGGCAGCGATGGAGCCCCGCTAATTAATATCCCCATCCGTGGTCGTTCCCACGACCCGAGTCCTGCTTGACTAACGGCACGTTCGCCTGGACATAAACTGCGTTTGATGTGGAGTTTAATTCTGCTGGTTATAAAACCTTAGCTGCCCCCAGAGCTTGTTTCTGGGGCTTGTTGGGGGTTTTTTTGGTGTTGTTCTGTGGGATTTTTTGTTGTGTTTTTTTTTTTTTCCAAGCCCAGCGTTGCCTGGATGTATTGCAGGGGAGGGAGATGCACAGGATGGAGTGTGGCTCGTTGCTTTGAATTTGACAAGGAGGATTCATATACAGGGCCTATCCCAGCCTGTCCCTTGTGCTGTTTGCCATCATTCCCAGACAGGGAATAAGCCCAAAACCAGGAGGATAAAAGGCCGTTAAAGATCCTACGATATATCCCTTCCCTGGAGCAGCCCAGTGGGAGCTCTCGTTTGGTGGGAGTGGGGTGGGGAAAGGGGACCACACCACTTCGATTTCCGTATAGATCCCACCAGTGCCGCCGTAACCCTAATGAAAGCAGTGAGCGGTGAGGTATTAAGGGAGATTTATTCGGGGATGCTTTTAACGTGGAGGAATGGATTTTGCAATGCAGACAGCACCTTCTCTCTAAAGGCAATCAATATGGTTACGGAGGGCCGTTATAAATTAGATGGTTTAAGCCAGATAGGACTTTTTTTACGTGGGGACGTAAATCAGGGGCTCTCGGGCGCGGCAGGGCTGTAAATCTGCCCTGTGCTCCTGCGCCCGCCGTGCCGGAGTCGTTCCTGTTCCGCCTGCTAAACTCCTGTTTACCCGGGGCCATCAGCATCGCTCTTCCTCGCTGTAATTCTGCACTCGACGGCGGCCTATAAAATGAACCCACTTATTTCCTTCCAAGTCCCGGAGCTGGAAATCTCCTGGGTTTCTGGAGCTGTGCCCTGCCTGCTGCCCCAGCTGTCTCCAGCCCCATGCAATGGCGAGGGGGCACATTGGGCAGAGGATGCAGCAGCCCCTTGGGCAGGCAGGGAGGTGGTTTGGGGGTTTCGGGGGTGCTTCAGGGAGACCCTAAAATGCAGGCTGAGCTCTGTGCATGCAGGTTACACCCCAGCGATGGAGTAGAATCATGGGATGGGGTTTCACTCATGCCGGGGTACCCAGGCAGTGGGTGCCAGGGGGGCTATGGTGCTTTCCAGTGCACTTTCACCTCTCCAGCACCCAAAATCTCACTGCCCCATGCTCACCTCTTGCTTTCTTCCACCCTGACCCGCTCCTCTGGCAGCGACGGTGACTCAGATGTGGACTCAGAGCTGGAGGAGCGCGTGGATGGGGTGAAGTCTTGGCTCTCCAAGAACAAAGGCTCCTCCAAAGCGCTCTCAGATGACGGCAGCCTGAAGGGCAGCAGGTGGGTGCAGGGCTGGGTGTGGGGCAGAGGATGGGATGAGCTGTGCTGGGACATGGCTGGGGGTGGCTGGGCACTTGTGGGATGTGGCGCTCGGTGCCGTGTTCCTGCGTGGTGCTTGTGTGGTTGGCCAGGGAAGGGTTAATGCTGGTGAGCAGCTTGGTCTCCACTGGGGACACATGTCCCCCCAGCTAAGGGGACCTCTCTGGTCCCCCTTCCCTCATCCCATCCTGGAGGCACAAGGGCATCCATACCTCCCACCCCATTTGCCTCCCCAGGGCTCACAGTGGTGGGCTCTAGCTCTGTGCAGCCTTCCGTTGCTCTGCAGCCTTCCATCACTCCAGGACTGATTCCCTGCTCCATTCTGCCCTCCTCTGCAGCCCCACCACATCCCTCCCCACACCTCTCAGAAAATGACAGTAGAGGTGGGAGACATGCCCAGGTGCCCCCACAGTGTGGGGCTGGGGCGCACATCCCCACTTCCATTCTCCATGAAAATTGCTTGCCTGCTGAGCACAGATTGCTTTTATCCAAACCCAATTTCCTAGCAGGGCTCCAGGAGTCCCTAGGGACTCCCTCCCTCTGCTGAGCAGGGGGGAAAGATCTGAGCTGGTTTCTGTTAATTGGTTTAATTTATTCAGCGGTGCAGATGTAAAACATTTTGTTATTGGAGATAATTCCACCTTTTCTGAAGTCGGGAATCAAACGCAGTGGCTCCAGGTAGCTGACAATGAAATAAATTGGAGGCAACACTTTAAAGGGGAATCAAAGTGCTGGGCTAGAACAATTCCCACATTTACATGACATTTTTTCCACGATGCCATTTCCCACTGACGCAAATTGCCGAGGCCGCCTCTCTGGTCCCCCCCTCGCCCACTCATCTTCATCTCTCTCTTGTCTCCCCGGTGCGTGCGGGGCTGCGGTGCCGCTGCACAGGTCAGCC